GAAACCCGAGTCATTCCGGTACGTAGAACCGGCTGTCGTGGGAATGAATCGATATCGGTGGTATCGGGATACACCCTCAGACAAATACAAACAGAAATCCACTTGTACTTTCTTAAACTAGCAATGAAGAGGTGGTTAGAGATACAGACTTGTAAGATAGTACGTGAGCTTTGGCCTGACTATAGCAGGGAAAGAAGAGCAGAGCTGCCAAGTAGGTGAAGGGTAGAAGTACTTAGGATTGTAGCGAGTATCAGCGGTCACTGACTGCTAGGAAAACATGCTTATAGAATAGGACTTCCCTACAACGAAATGTGCTGCAACTACCTGCTAGAAGGTAGCGAGGGAACAGGATTTGATTTCATGTGCGAAATATATAATGAAGCAGTTAACAGATTTATCTAGTGCTACTATAAGCGATATGTACAAATTCATAAGCTGTTCAAAATGGTTTGGCGAGTGCGCAAGAAAGGAATCTCTTGATAGGATAATGGGAAGCGCATCAAATAATGCATTCCCTAAGTACTGAAATTGCCCTGTTGATGTTCAAAAAGGCTAAGAGGTTACCCTAAACTATTGTTCTGTGTATCGTCCTACCTGTGTCAAATAAAGCCAATAGCGAGAGGCTCTAAAAATTAACATTACTAACAACAGTTCCATATAATCACATCGACAATTTTATACAGTGCATAATATATATTTGTATTTCTACTCCTTCAGCTCTACGCTGAGTCGTCACAAAGTATTACCCGCCAAAGTTTTGCACGCATTCTGAGACACACGGGAAAAATGACGCCCGAAAAGTGTGATGCATTGTTTTTTGCAATCGATCATACGAATAAAGGCTGCATTGCGTTCGGTGAGTTTACACTTTAACTAGCAATCGTAAACATATTAAATGCATTTCTTTTTTCATTTTATAATGTCATATACAGAGGACTTTGAGCGCTACACCAAGGATCATCCACAGTACAAGTTCCTTTACAAGAAACAGGAGCATCTACGAAGAACGCAAGCAGCTGGCAATGTAAAGAAAACGAATTAAAATCAAGGACAAAACAATTTATGCGACCTTGAGGGTGTATGTGTGCGTGTGTATGACAGAGTTGACATGATTTTTGAGCGCGAAAAATGCATTTCATAAGGGTAATGGATTTTTGAATTACAAAATCCGATGTATTTACAAAAACCAAACATTAATTGTATTTATTTCATTTCGATTGTATAAGAACTTCATAAAGCTATTGCTTAATAGAGTAAAAGGTAACAGTGCTTCTAATATTGTAAAATAATGATTTTGCANTAAGAACTTCATAAAGCTATTGCTTAAGAAAGTAAAAAGTAAAACTGCTTCTAATATTGTAAAATAATGATTTTGCAAAAAAAATAAGGGGCAAAAAATGCAAATTTCATTTTTAAAACCAGTGTATATGTTTGCATTCATATAAACTGTTTGAACGTTTAAAATGACAATCTGATCGAAGAGAAGAAAAATTTTCTTTCTAAGCAACATAGCTGCAAATCGTGCGCTGATATATCTACATAAACATATGTAGGGAGATTATAAGGAAGGACCAACAACAAACCTGAACCACCTAAAAATGCAAAAGAATAATTTATACTATTCAGTCAAATATTGTACACACTCTCATATAAAGGCATTCAAGTTTCTTATAATTAAATTTAAAATTTTGTTTGCTATCTGCTTCATGTAACGTAGCTTTAAAAATTAATGCCATAAAGTAATAGAAGTAGAAATAATCTAACAATGATATTTAATTGTTTACTGAGTATATTTAATGTCAATTTTATTATACGTTAAATATATGCTTACAGTGTATTAGATTCTAGCAATGTAGGCGTGTGTAGTTTGGCCAAATTTATAATGTAAATTTATATATGTATGTATGTATGCATACATGTAAGTATAATTATTTATTAGAGTTATTGTGAAGAAACCCTTAAGTATGCATTCAAGCACTTAACAATAAATAGATCCAACTCCACCAACCGTCACGTTTCAAACAGCTAAAAGCGCCCACAATTTCTGAACAGCAAGCGTACTTAAATCAGATTTAACGATTACAAAAAAAAAAAATACGTGACTTATTCAGCCTTATCAAGAATGTTAATTTCGTGTGAACTCGTTCACATGTCGCCCATGCACTTCACCTATTTATATTTAGTTTTCACCAAGCGAAGTACATAGTTCACTTCGAATGATTTTCACCCTATCGTATACCGTACTCACCCGGAGAAATAACTGTCACTCGCACAGTTAAAACCGCAAAATAATTGCTAAATTTTCACAAATATTTCCTATATTTGTCTGTACGTTCAAAACTGTTTGTTCACTGAAATTTTATTAAACGGCTTTGCAAGCTGTTATCCCAACTTCGAAACTTCTATGTGAAATGCCTTTCACCCGAAATCGGTCCACATTCATGATAAAGTGAACCATTTCGGGTGACGAAATTTTTCACCAGAATATTCATGATAAGGCTGATTATTTTTTATTTTATCTTCAGCGAATTACTCTTATTTAAATCATCTAAATACACTGAATGTGTTTCTTTTGTTATTAATTTTCCTAATCGGCTTGTCTAGCAGGCCTTTGAACCTCTAATAGATGTAAAATTTAATTTTATTAAGTACTGCAAGTATTGAGTTCCAAAATGAAATATGATTTAATTATCTTTTAAACGTATCGCGTCACTATATTTAGTTTACTATAAGTACATATATATATTATTTATTGCAGATAGATAACTGATATTATAGTTATAGAAAGAATTGTAAGAGCGTGAAAACGAATAAAAAAGTAAAGAAAAAAAAACAACCAAACTTGTAAATAAAGAAACGGTTTTAATGGGACCTTTTCCTTTTCTAAAAGAAAGATTGCTCCAATTCCAGGATGAAGTACATAATTAAGTTGGAGGAAGAGATATCGGCTTCTTAGGTCTAATCAGAAACTGAGGAGTATCACGGCCATCCTCACAGCAGCCCAAGGAGATATCACCGTTGGTATTACCGAATTTTTTTTTTAGAAATATATCGATATTCTCCGTTAATAAAGTTAAAATGAAAACTACTGTCGTGCAGTAGTTTGTAATTTATTTTCCGAAATGGGAAAGTATCTCGCATACGCCAAAGGTTTTAGTAAAACTGTAACGATTATACAATTCTACTTAAACGTATGGGAGCACTTGAAATTCAAGATTTAAAAAAACCTGGCCGACAACAAAATCGAAGCGACACCAGCAGGGGGAGGTCCCAAAAAAGGAAGTGAGTTGGGATTCGCTGAAGATGCCGAAATTTAAGCGTTGCTGAGCCTCGATAAAACGACTAAATTTTAACTTAAAAAACGTTGCAAATATTTTACAAAAATTACCATGCACTAACTTTTGAACGCCAGTGTACATCGAAAAAAGAAAAGATTTTGGTTAATTATTTATTTTTTTATTTTTTAAGTAATTTTCTGCAGTGGAAATTTTCCAGTCATCAGATATAAAATTAATAAAAAATTATTTATTAAATTTTCAATAAAATAAATATTTTGAATTTTTGTTCCCTGTTTATACTTACGCAAGAACCGAATTAAAAAAGGCCGATTGGAGTCAACACATATTTCTTTCAAGCGTTTATACCTTTTATTCAGAAATTTTAGAAAAATTTTGTGTATGTAGTTTTGTAGCCCATTAAATTTTAGTAGGATAAAGTGCAAATTTCAAGACGCTGGAACATCGCGTTGATTTTTAATAATTTTCTTGGCTGAAGGTGTTGTGCATTTTCTTCGACAATTTCGTTTGGGATTTTGTATGGCAGCCTAGCTAATGAGCTACAAAACTGCATACCCAAAATTTGTCTAAAAATTCTGAAAAAAAGTTTAAAATTTTCTAGTGCCGTCGTCGGACAAGAACGCATTACATACTTCTGTTATGCATATACATGCCAGTCATTGTACATAGTATGTATGCCATACGCTTGCACACCCTTAGGGCTTTCGTGGCCTTGCAATTGATTGCCTCCACATGTTTCTTCCATAGAAGTTTAGTGTCCAGAATAAGCCTTAGATACTTCTCTTCGCTGGCGAGGCAGACCACAACCCTCACCCTCCTCATGACTGGCAGGGTTCTTTACCTAGTGAACGGAGTGAGGCAGCTTTAGCTGTAGCTCTAATAAAAAGCCATTTGAAGTGATATTCACGAAATACTTCCAAGTGAAAATAGTGGAAATTCGCTCATTAGAATAGAGTGATCAAAATTAGGGGCTCGTTTCTCATGTTAACTATGTACATACATATGCACATACATATGTATTTACAAGTATTAAGTATTTATGCTACCCATGTGTCTAATCAATTAATAGAATGACCAGCGCAGCCAGATGCTGATAAATGCAATTCATGTAACCAATTGGTACGCAATCATTCCTGAAATGTCTTTTATCTTACAAATAGCTATCGAATCCGTGCATTGCACATTAGGGTGGTCAAAAAAAAAGTTAAAAGTGTTAAGCTCTCACCCCTAGGAGTTTTCTAAATGGTAAAATGGAAAGTGGTTTTTTCACATATAAAATACATGGAAAACTTCCTGGGCTTTGAGGCAGTGCTAAATTTTTTTTTACCAAAAAAATACGGGTATTTTTGGACCACCCTATTGCACACATAAATTTTCCAACAATGGGGGCGTTACATGTTGACTGATAAAAAAAAACGCCCTGAATTTATTTTATAACCTACGCGGACATCTTTCCCGCCAGTGCAGCTCCAGCAGTGCGCGCAGAAACAAGAATCACCTTAAACTGCCGCGATTAAAGTGAAAAATATTAAAAGTGCTTAAATGCAGGATATTCCTGTGTATTGAGAGACAATGCCGCCCAACAGGATATCAACATCCTGCCGCACCTCACTGCTACTACAAATAATATTATTAATTATTTATTTGGAAGATCCAGCCGATGGATTCGTTAGTTCGTATGTCTCAAGCGATTATACGCCCTCTTAAGCGCGATTTCTTTTAACAACTATTTTCCTTCGTTTTTAGCCCCAAAATTATAACCAAAGATGGCAATCTTATAGTGGAATCTGGACTTAATCGCAATATCACATTTCGCTTGGATGGCACTTCGCGCATTAATATCAATGACGAATATGATTTGTTGGATTTACTGATGCTGAGCGGCAAATACAATCGCTCCTCACCAATGCACCAGGATGTCTTTGAAGCGGACAATTTGGCGCAACTCTCCAATGAGTTGAATACACTGCGGACGTATGTCTTCGGTGCGGACGGCTTGGACAAGCGTTTGTACACAATGTTGAATAGGTTAGTTTTCCTTGGATTAACTATTTCGAAACTTTTTGTGGGCGTTTTGGCTACAATTTTGACGACTTCGTTATTTTTTATCGCTTCAGAACTCGCTCCAACAATCAGTCGCTACGTCGTTTTCAAACCCGTTTGCAACGTGTCGAACGAAAAGTGCAGAATTTGTGGGATCGCCTCGAATTGGATAGTTGTAAGAGTAATCCTTGCGAGAATGGTGGTACCTGCATAAATATTTTCAGTGGATTCATTTGTAAATGCCCGAAAAATTTCGAGGTAAGTTTGATGTTGAACTTCTTTAGCGGCGGTAGTGAGCTAAAAAATTGTAGCGGAAATATGCGAAAATTTCCATGCAACGGAGAGGCATCCACTTTGCCTCTCTATTTCCGCCTTTTCCGTCTCCATTAATATTGAAAATGAACTGTCGCTAAGAGCTACGCAGTGGTTTAAGGTTAAGACTAGGCCAAAGACAAAAGGACGAAGACGAAGAGTAAGGCGAATACTACGACGAAAACGAATGCGAAGAGGGAGACGAATGATTAAAACGAAGACTAAAATGATTTCAAAGATTAAGACAAATATAAGTACGAAGAAGAGTACGAGTTCGACAACGAGCACGAACTCAAATACGACGAAGAAGACGAATTAGCAGACGATAACGAAGACAAATACCAAGACGAATACGAAGCCGAATTTAAATACCAAGCCAAAGACGAAAGTGAAGACAAATACGTAGACGAACACGAAGTCTAAGGCAAAGAAAAATACATACAAAGTAACAGACGAATGCGAATACGAAGACAAAGGTGAAGCTGAATACGAATACGAAAACGCATGCGAAGACGAACACGAATACGGGGGTGAATTCAAAGTCGAATAGGAAGATTAAAACTAAGTCTAATATAAAGAAATGAACTAGTTTAGCCCAGTCACATTAATTTTTTTTATCAATTTAGAGCTTCCCTTGGAATCGTGCAGGAAAGAGCAAAGAACGTCAGTAGTAAACCAAGTTATATTTATTAAAATAAAATCCGACATCTTTAAACAAATTTTGACGACTTTAAACGCGAAAAACTGAAAAAATGTAGTCTGGAAGATTTTTGGACTTTTCAAGATCTTTTACAGTGTAAAGAGCTGTTTGCAGCTCTCACGAAAAAATCACAAGAAATATTTTTCATTATTTCTTTAACTTGAAAAAGTAATTTGCTTTTGCTGTAAATTTTCTGGAAGAAATAAATATACAAACATTTTATTCTTGAGAAGTGCAAATTGATTTAAGAAATTTTTGTAGAAGAAAATTACGTTTCCACTTCATTCATTTTATATGAATTTTTCGTTTTTCTTGAGAGCTGCAAACAGCCCTTAACGATTCGATTCAAAATAGTATCTGTACAACAAAGTTGAAATAGCGAGAAATTTTAACTACACTGGGTCAAAAATTTTAATTTTGTTTTTGTTCTCCAAACGCCACTATCAAATTTGTATGTAGAATAAGTCGCTGATTCCGAAAATCGAGTTAATTTTTTTTTTTGTAAGGATACGTTTTCGAGATATTTGCCATTTACTGTTATTCAGCTTACAAAAAGCGTGGTTCCACTCAATCACGTATATCTTACGAACCAATTGAGTAATCGTAATTTGAGTTACGGTAAATGAAATCTAATAAAATTTCACCATAAATCGTATATATGTACTTCACATTTCGATAGCCCTGATACTCAAGTAGCACACTGGTGTATAAGTTGGTGTAAATTTTTGAATTTTGGTACAATTAATCAGATCTATACCAAAATTCGAAAATTTATGAGAAATTAATTAATTATTCCAGATTGTTTTTTGTTTTTTGTTTTTTTGATGGAAGAATGCAAAAAATTCAAACTTAAAAAGGGAAAAAATTAAAAAAAAAAAAACAGTTTCTGTGTAAATGTTTTGCACTTGTGTTTTAAAGGCTTTTCTCTTAGAAAAATAGAAAATTGATGAATAAATAAGAAAGTAATGACAGGTCAAATGAAAATGCGCAAGGATTTTTTGTATGAAATATGCGCAGAAAAGAGTTACTCATACGCCACGTACACCTGAGTAGGCAGTGTGTGCATCGAAAGCAAGAGGTGTCAGAAATGATTAAATAATTTCTCAGAAACTATCAGGGCTATCGAAAAGTGATGTATATACGGTTTATGGAGAGTTTACGATTATTCAATTGGTTCGTAAGATATACGTGATTAAGTGAAACCACTCGTTTTTTATGCTGAATAACGGTAAATTAAAAATATCTCGAAAATTTATACATAGAAAAAAAAAATTATCCCACTTTTCGGAATCACCGAGCAATTCTACATAGGAATTGGATAGTGTAAACCAGTGCTATTAGCGTTATAGCGGCAGCTTTCTCAAACAAACCCAGTTTTCTGTAGAACTTTTTCGTTTTATAGTAATTCGCAACTAAAAATTCTTCAGACTGGAGACAGAGTGCAACATAAAAGAGTTCTATTTATATTCCTTTTACTGTGTGCTCTACGAATTCAGAACTACATATACATATGTAATTACATATGTTTATTAGACTGCATCACCAAAAAAAGTTGCGGATTACAAAATCTATTATATTTTAAGACGTCCACCAAAATATTTCGGAAAAATATTAAGATTTAAGCGAGCTGAACCGATTTGAAAATACCTCCAAAAATGGAGTTTTTTATGAATAAAAATAGTTTCTTAAAGATGTTTTTTTGAAAAAAGTCCCCTCAGATGACAAAACAGATTAGGCTTAAAAATTCTGCATAAAAATATTTAACAAACATTTCAACGGAATCGTAATAATGACATGTTTGATGCTGTTTGTTTTTTTTTCTTTTTTCAAAAATTAATTTACGAAAAACCAAAACTATTCTGATTTAGACTTATGGGATCTCGGTAGAGAGGTATTTTCCCACTATTTTTTATTTATGTGCAAAAAAAGTCATTCGTGTCCAAATTTATTTATTTATTTTTTTTTTTCAAATACAAACACATCTTAATTCAACTCTGATTATAGAAAAGTTTAAGCTTGAAAAATCTGAATAAAATGTTCAAACATTTTATCATCGTATCTAATCAAAATACATAGTTACATTTCCGGAAGTATTTGCAAATAGGTCTAGATCACGTAAATCTTAAAATTTTTTCCAAATATTTTGGTTTTAATCTTAAAATATAATCAGCCTTATCATGAGTTTCATTTTCCCCGAACCGGTTCACTTTTCCCATTTGGTTTCCATGTATTTACTATGGGCGGAAAAAAAATTTTCGGGTGAATTTTTTTTTCGGGCGAAACTCAGGATAAGGCAGAATAAATTTTATAATTCCGGTGGAAAACCGCAACCGTATATGACCACCTGTTTGCGAAGAGAAGAGGTAACAACTCTCATTGAATAGCTGAAATGATGAAGAATGTGAATGGCTTGTATACAGCTCCATTTGGTTCTTGTCTTAAAAAGTGGAAGACCATCTGAGTACTGCTATCGAATTTTGGTTAAGCAGATTTTTAGGAAAGTCAAAGGAAGACGAAAAATTTAATTCATAATGCAAGTAAAAGAGGAAACATTGATTATAATTACTTTTCCTCTAATTTGGCTCTTCAACCGTTTTTGACTTAGGCTGAGACCAAAAATCGTCGCCAATTGCCGCTCTCCTTTCCAAGGTTGTGCCATCCCGAGGGCAGAAAGGTCCTCTTGCACTTGGTATACTTTGAATAATTTTATCTGCTTTTCTTTTCTTAAAAATTATAATAACCACTATTTTCGATATCTGAAAAAAATACCTTCCAAACACTCAAATAGCGCATCGTTCCTTGGTCTAAAAAAATTTCATCTCAAAGCATTTCACTTTTTATCTAAAACCACCATCTCTTTGAAGGGTGCCACTTGCCAGAACGACGTCAACGAATGCGCCCTATACGCCGGCACCGATTTGGGTTGTCAAAATGGCGGTCAGTGTGTCAACCAACATGGCGGCTACAATTGTATATGCAGCGCTGGTTGGTACGGCATACACTGCACACAACGCAAAGGTGACTGCATGCAGTCATCCACTTGGGAGCTTTGCGCGCACGGCACCTGCGTGAATAGCAATGACGATTTTGGCTACAAGTGCATCTGCGATGCGGGTTGGAAAACAAATGGCCTAACACCCGCTTGCACTGTGGACGTGGATGAATGCAATGAATCACACCCGCCATGCGCCACGAAATGCATAAACTTGCCAGGCTCGTTTACATGCGCACCGTGCACTGCTGGCTTAACCGGCAATGGTGTCAATTGTCGGGATATCGATGAATGCGCATTGCAAAATGGTGGATGCAGTTTGAGTCCGCGCGTGGTGTGCATAAATACCTATGTAAGTATAGATGTTTAGGTGAAGCGAAGGGAAAGTGAACGATAAATAAGCTACAAGTACTTTTTTTTGTGCCAACATAGGGCTCATACCATTGTGGTGATTGTCCACTCGGCTGGATTGGTGACGGGCGTAGCTGTGAGCGACGTGGTGGCACTATAAATACGAATGGAGCCACTGCTACCAGTTGTGCGCTCAATAATTACTGTCATCCGCTGGCCAAATGTACCGAAGTCTCCAATACGGCAGTGTGCTCTTGTCCAACTGGAATGGTCGGTAGTGGCGTGGGCCTAAATGGCTGCGTACAGGGTACACAACAGAATTGCGCAACTATGCCATGTCAGGTGAGTGATTTGACTGCATTGCTGACTTAAACTCAACGTACTTATGTATAATTATTATTATTTTTTGTTACTTACAGAATGGCGGCACTTGCGTCGATTCAGGCGACACCTTCATCTGCCTCTGCCCGATGGGCTATCGCAGTCCAACGTGTGCACCCGTCGCAAATCCTTGCACACCGAATCCCTGTCACAACAATGGCCGCTGTCGTGCAACTGGTGGCACACAATTCACATGCCAATGTCCGGCTGGTTTCAACGGTCGTCTGTGCGATAATCGCTTTAGCCGTTGCGGTGGCATACTCTCAGGTCTGACTGGACATCTGAAATATCCAGAAGGTTCACTTTATGATCACATGGCACAATGCGCCTGGGTTATACGCACTAATGAGTCTTTGGTGCTGAATGTCACCTTCAACGCCTTCGAATTGGAAGATGCAACTGAATGCCGCTTCGATTGGTTGCAAATTAACGATGGTCGAAGCGCGGCGGCACAAATCATTGGCCGCTTTTGTGGTGTACACAAGCCGAGGGGCGGTAACCTTATCTCCAGCAGCAGTGAATTGTATTTGTGGTTCAGGTCTGATAATTCGACAGCAAAGGCGGGTTTCGAATTGGAGTGGAATTCTATACCACCGCAATGTGGTGGTATTGTAGAAGTTGAATCGCATGGTACACTCACATCACCCGGCTCACCGGGCAACTATCCGAAGAATCGCGATTGCCGCTGGCAGTTAAGAGCGCCAAATAACAAACGTATTAAGTTGACTTTCTTCAGTTTGCAAATCGAGAAGCACGAAAGCTGTAATTTCGATTACTTGGAGGTGAGTAGCTTGTTGTGGTTGTGTAGGTTATTGATTTAATGCATATATGTATGTATAACGCCATCTTTATTAACCCTGCTTTGAAAACCTCTCTTTCGCGTAATGAAGATTGAAATCCATATTTCCATTTAAAATGACGAATATTTCTAAATAAAATGCATTTAAATAATCAGTAAATATTTAAAGACATAGGTTCTTTGAAAAAAAAAAATCATAAAAAATTTGTATTACCATAAAATTAAAACAAGCAAACCATGATACGTCTCATAGACGTATTATTACCTTCTCAGCAACTTTCAGTAGGGTTATCAAAGCAGAGTTAAAGTCGTCTTGAGCGGTTATTGCTTGACAAATGTATATTCAATGAAATTTACTTTTAGTTTGCTACTAACCATTTTAATATTTGAATTGCTGTTTTAAAAGTAGAAGAAGAAATAAGCTATTAGTATATTAGTTTGAAAACCTATTCTCATAGGCGTTCCAGCTCCAGAGGTATTTCCACAAAAAAACTTGCAAAGTAGGGGAAATTGAGAGAGCAAAATTACATTTCATTTTGAGGGGAACTCGAACTTAATCCGGATCAACTGCAGTTAATTCCCGGGTTGATCCGGATCAACGATGCCGTCTGTTTATGCTTTTAGAAACCTAATTAAGGGAGCTTAAGCTTTATCTATACATAAAAAAGAATATTCTTACCCCGGTGTAATATATTGACGAAAGCGGTATTATAGGTATTAAGGCAGTCACACGATTGAGCATTTTCCTAACATTTGGTGCAAATTATATCCCAATCGTGTGAATGCACAAATATTTTTCTTTGTCAGAATCACAAAAAAAAAACAATTTGTTAAAATGTTTCCATATATACCAATTTTTTTACAATTTACAAATCTGTACAAATGTACCAATCGTGTGACACTGCCCTTATAATTTGTTTGAATAAGTACATACTCCATTTTTTAAGGATTATCGCACAACAAGTTCTTCGTTCTAATAATTCATAGGAATCATCATTAAAATCTTTAAGCCGGTAGGCGCTTTTTTATCTGAATTTTCTTTGGTGTAATTCTCTTACATACACAGACATACATATTCCCTTCCAGATCATCGATGCAATTGCCGATTCGACAATAGTAAAATATTGCAATTCATCCTCACCGTCTCCACTGATGCTGCCCACCAATGAAGCAATCATACACTTTCACTCGGACAATATCGAAACAGATGCCGGTTTTCAAATATACTATTCCACAGAAGAACGAGTGCCTGGATGTGGCGGTACTTATACAGCTAAACAGGATACCATTGCATCACCAAGTCTACAAGGAGACGCTCTCTCTTGTGAATATGACATAAAAATGGCAATGGGTGAATCGATTAAAATTGTATTTACTAAATTCGAAATGAGTACAGACGATTGTTTGGAGGTTAGAATTTAAACCTATATTCATACTATTTTTGAGCTGTTGATTCAACTTCTTCTAAATTTCAGTTCTTCGACGTGCATCCGAGCACACGCGAGCTTATACTACAGGGAAAATACTGTGGTGGTTATGGTTCGGTACCGCCAGTCATATTACATTCTTTATACAATGCACTACGTATTAAGTATTTTGCAAGGGCTGGTAAATTCGAATTTAAATATGAAGCTGGTGAGCATATGTAGCTTGTGGTGGTATAAGCAAATACTTAAGGGACTGATTGACACTGATTTCAGATTGCTCCTACAATTTCGAGAGCAGCAATGACGAAGTGCTTTCACCAGCCTACCCGAAATTAGAAAATATAGATCGTTTTTGCAATTTTAAAATAACAACTGAACCAAACACAGTTATTTCGATTAAATTTATCGATTTCGATCTTCACGATAGTAGCATAGATTCATTAGATTGCGCGTTTAGTTCGCTGCGGGTGAGTATCGATAAAGCAATGAGTTGTGTGAAAAAAAAACACTTTTGTTTTCAAAAACTGCTTCACGAAAATTACATTATGTCTTATTACGCTCTTTCGCACATCAGATTAATGATGGTCTTAATCAAAATATCACTGGTCCTTTCTGCGGAAATAATACACCACCTGTGGAGTTTGTTTCGAAAACAAATATGCTGATTTTTACTTACCACACCTCTCTTACCAGCTCAGGAAGAGGTTTCAAATTAGAGTATCGTTCCATACCGATGGGTAAAACCGATTGTGGTGGTGTTTTCACGAAACCAGGCTATAAGATACGTTTACCCACTGGCGAAGATGATATGTACCTGAACAACCTGGAATGTTATTGGGTCATAATGGCGCCCGAAGGTAAAGGTATTATGATCAATTGGGAGTCGTTTAGTATGGAACAGACAATGGACTGTATGTACGATTACGTGGAGATATTTGATACTTTGGGACGTGATGAGAGTGATCGACCGTTGGGCAGGTAAGTGTTAGTTCTAGATATGCAATTCTCAGCAAGGCCCCTTTGAATTAAAATACTACAACAGTTAAAACTTAAGAGCATTCGAAATAAAAATACTACCCTCAAAGTAAAGAAACGGCAATCGCGGTCCTCAATTTAATCGCCGGCAGGACCTCGGCCAAAAAAAAAGGAGCAACATACAACAGAATTTTCCGGCCCAGCGATTGTATTTCTATGAGAAGCTGTTTTTCATGGCAGAAATACATACACTCGGAGGTTTCACATTGTCTGCCGCGGGGCAACCGCTGTTAAGAAAAAAACCTTTTTTCTACATTTACATACACCACATCGGCGGCCGAAAGACACTTAATACATTACTTAAATAGGCCATTATCGGTCTCCACAGAGAATTCGTCCTTTCTTTTAGTGACTTTCGTCCTACGAATGCCGTTATCGGAGCCCAATACCAATAATAGCAGACGAAGATCTTCTGTTGCCAGGCGCGACCGTGTAATTTTGGTCCAGTACTTAAAACAGTATCAAATGTGATAAAAAATTTATAATAAAAGTAGATTATTCCTTAATTTTAAGGTAACGAACTACATAGCGTACCATCAAATTAACCCTGCAGGGAGTGACGTTAGCTTATACCTAACTTTAGTCTGTTTACGCGAACACTAGTGCTAACTATTAACTGTGTATTTTGTTCGAAAAAAGCTAACTACTTTTGTGGGGCGATGGCCGCAAAAAAGTCAGACCTGGATACCTCTGCATTACATGTCAACTAACTTGTAACTAACTACTTTTGGACATAAAATATCAATAAGAAAAACAAAATATTTTTTTGTTTTTTTACTTTTTTATTTACTTTATTTTATTACATTTCATATTTGTTTACATATTCTGCTCTGGGTGGCCCCATATTCGAACACCGTCAGACATAACTTCAAAATGATAGTATAAAATTTCGATCTTCCTTTTATTTGTCCTGAATATGAAAAAGAATCTTGCGAAGTTCAGAAAAAAAGTGTATTGAAAGTAATTTTTGTATGAGGATATTTAATAGAAACTTGTAAATAAAACCAACTCCCGATTGCGTCTGCATGACTCCTGCACGACTTTACAATTCACTTTAAGTTGGTTTTGTCATAGCTAATTAAAAGTGAGGTATTAATCGAAATCTCGCCAAAAAGCTAACTATAAGTTGGTTAGTTTTAACAATTGATAATTTTTCACTGCAGGGAAGGAATAAGCGACCTTTATTCTAAAATTTATCACATTTGAAACTATTTTAAGAAGTTAACCCAATATATATTAATTTAATGAAATTAATTTTTAAGTTATTTAATCTCCCAGTCGACTTTTCCATCTTTTACTTTCCATAAGACCCTTTGGGGATTACGACGAACTAAGTAGCCGTTCTCAAAATCAGTATTTAGTTCTTGAAGACGGAATTTAGTTATTTCAAAAAAAAATAAATCGCCTTTTTCAGATACTGCGATACACCGCCTTCTTTCTCCAGTCACTCTCGTCTTTTAACACTCAAATTCGTATCGGATAGCTCCGAATCGTCTGGTGGCTTCGAGGCCAGCTATGAGTTTATAGACATTAGCAAGCAGTGCGGTGGCGAAATATTCTCCACTACTGGGCGCATATTTTCTCCCGACTATCCAGCGAATTACACAAATGGCATTGATTGTATTTGGGTAATTAATACTCCCGAGAATACACAAGTCAAATTAGACATTGATATGTTTGAGTTGCAAGCGAGCGAAAACTGCGACAGCGATTGGCTGGAAATACGGTAGGCTGTACTTTATACATACATACATAATACAGGACCACAAAAAAATCTGTGAAAGGTTCTTTTGATAAAATTTTATAAGATATAAACCAGTTTATTAAAATCCGATCACCACGCGCCATTTTGAATTTTCAAAATCTGTATATATATTCGTAATCAGGAACTTCAAAAACCGCTGGAAACCGAGATTTATTTAAATTCAATATTTTCTTTAATTTGCCCGCCATATTGGATCCGACATTTGGAATTGTGAAAATTTTAATTCGTATTCGTAATCAGCGCTATCAAAAACCCCTGGGATACAAATCGATATTTATAAAAGTGGTCTGTCACTTAAAGTTCGCCATTTTTTTTGAGGTTAGAAAAAATGATGGAGCAAAATGGACGTTAAATTCGTGTTCAGCGACACCAAAACATATGGAACAAGTGGTGTGGAAAAGTGATCTTTCTTCGATTTTTTTTGTGGTCCTGTGTAATTTACTTAGTTGTTTATTGAATTTCCCTTTTACGTACGTATTCCGCCTTTTAGCAATGGCGGCTCGGTGCAATCACCCTTAATTAATAAATATTGTGGCACTTTGATACCGCGACAAATACCATCATTTACCCATCAGTTGCGGTTGCACTTCCACAGTGATAGTTTCCTCAGTGCACGTGGTTTCCAAATACACTGGTTTGTCTTCTCGAACGGCTGCGGTGGCAATCTGAAATCGGATGCCGGTGTTATAGCTTCACCGCGCTATCCAAATCCATATCCGCACAATGCTGAATGTGACTGGCATATTCAGGTGCCAAAAGGCTCCTCTATACATTTCAGCATCGACGATTTGGAAATCGAAGAATTGTTCGAATGTCATTACGATTACTTGGAAATCTACAATGGTCGCAGCACTTCACATCCGTTGCTGGCGAAATTGTGTCAGTTGGAACGACAGGAACCCAAACAACTTTTCACCACAAGCAATGAGGCATTGCTCCGTTTCCGCACCGATAGCAGTCAGCGCGAGCGTGGCTTTTTACTGTCCTACTATTCGAATTGCACACGAACTATCACCGAAATTAGTGGTGTGATCGAAAGTCCGAATTTTGGCAATCCTTATTTCAATGATCCCATAAATTGTTCATGGACCATTCAAGCGCCAAAGGGTAATCTCATCGTATTACAATTTTCACATTATGAAAAACGTGATGGCGGTCGAGATGTTGTATTCAAAGAGCCCGGCAAGAATGAAACACTCGTACATCTACTATCGCCAAATGACAACTTCACCACAACTGGAAACACACTGATGGTTATACAGAACAGCAGTTGGGTGAATTTTCGCTTGGAATATGTAATGTTCGGTTGCGTACAGGTGTTCCATCGTGAAACGGGTGAATTCCAATCGCCCAACCATCCGCTGCCTTATCCCAACGATATTGAGTGTATGTGGGAGATCAAAACAACGCCTGGTCAAGGTGTTGAATTGACCGTGACGGAACTGGATATTGAGGAGACAGTAAACTGTACCAATGATGCACTAGTGGTAAGTGTCTAACCTTGACGTCTTTCTTTATAAAGTATTACTACACATCGACAGATGTCTGGAAGATCGTCCTATCTCGGCTGCCGATTATCTCAGCAAATGATTCAAAAACGTCTTACCTTGGCTGCCGATATATTAAAGCGGTAGCTGAAATAGGACTTTTATCAACTAAATTTGTCAACCATTTGCTGACATAGGGCGTTTTCGAACCTGCAGCCAAGATAGAGGGATCTTCTCTAAATTATTACTGTATTTAGATATCTAGTCACTCTGAGAGCAACAATTACAAAGAACGCCATTGTGGCAAACAAGATAAATTGGTGATTACTAGTTCGAGCCATCAGCTGTTCGTTCGGTTTATAAGTAATAAGGAGCATAACGGAAAAGGATTCCAGGCATCATACAAGATATTGAAGTCGCGTAAGTATCTAACTTTTTAACACATTAGGGTAAGGACTACTAACGATGCAAACTAGCTCCTCAACGACCGGCCAATCGCCTTGTCAGTCACGAGCAATGTTTCTTCGTCCGTATCAAACTGTAGTGGGCAAGTGACTTGAGGACATTTTTCGTACATAAAGCTTATCCCAAGGCGCGGTGATGTGCGCGGAAAAGTAGAAGTAGCTTTCAAACGTGATGTCCAGTACTTTTGTGTTATTAACTGTAGGGATGTTGGCACCGTCGACGTTTCAATTGAAGAATCTGGCAGAGGATTTAGTTGCAGAAAATTTTAGGTTCTTGCCAGTGAAGAATGTGTCGGAGAGGTAGCCCTAAATCATCTCGAAAAGTCGTAGCATTCTACTGATGAAGTTTGTTTGGCCATGTAAATATTGAAAAGCGTCGGGAAGGGAACGCCGCCATGGAGACCACCTCTTAAATTCTACGCGGTTTGCTCTTAACGTTGAGCAATTCGACTGACGATATTTAAAGGATGTCCTGGAAGAGCGTAGCGTGTTTGGCTTTGGAAAAGTCAACCGCGATCGGACAGTGTTGCTCTTGCGGAACCGTCTAAAATGATTACATACTTATTCAAGCTGGTGAGATATTCCACATTTCAGGAAGGACGGTGAGTTACTCTATTTCTAGGGGGCTTAGTTTCTTCAGCATCTGCAACGAGATTTCTTCCCGCCAACACTTTGGAATCATTTTCATATGCTTCTCAGGGACTTCTGTTGCCAAATGTGAGATTTAGGCTTATGCCGTGGCCCACAGATTTGTGGCTTTATTGGAGAGATTACAGGGTGTGATATTTCACATTTCCTAGTTATGTTGGTTGATTAAAGAGCTACTTTCTTTATTGAAATTCCTGATATGAGGTTCTCCAAGATTAATGTGTCAAGTGCGATCTCGCACGTTTACAATGACCGCCGATTTATTTGAGATCCAAGGCCGAACCTGCGTGGATGATGCTGCGGATATGACTCCCAGTTTCGCGTTAGCGAGGTGGCTCTGAATGTACGCTTTTCGCAAGTGACGTTGTCACTAGACTAGTCAAAGCGAGCGTGAACACTGGTTGCCAGCCAATACAATTTATAAGATTCCCACCAGCTACGGTAATATCTGGCACGCTATGATAGTCAGACGTGTCCCCGATGAGGGCACCGCCATTCGAGTTATCGAACAGCTTAACGACCAGTATGCGTCTTCTTCGCGGTGATATCCTACTGATCAGTTGATAATAGGATCGGTCGGATGATGATGATGGTGAATCGATTTCTCGAAAGAGCTTGTTGGGTTTTGCCATCCCTGGAGCATTGGTGCAATAGCTGTGATTATGTTCATAATTTATTATCGCTGCAGTATGGTCAGCCATTATCCTCAGTACAACATAACTCGTTCTGGATTTCCGAGTCGTTTCTAGCCATCCCATCAGCTGTTTCATTCCCTTCGACATATGTAGCCATCTCCAAGAACCCAGCAGAGAGAGGGAAAGCCGTTGTTGAGACTCTTAAATTCACTTTTTTTATCCTAATGCTTCCAAAGCCGCTTTCCTGTGAAGACGTATAGTGCACACTGATAAAGACTTACAATTTGGTATTAGACAGACAGCTTTCTATATGGAAAAGATCTTCGCTCGAAAGAACTGGCGATGAAATTGCCTGATTTGCAGGTCTTCCTTCCACCTTTGAGCACTTTTGTAGGTATGGAATCCTGCTAGGTATTTCTTTGCTCTTTCCTTGGCGTTATGCCTCCTCGAGGATAACACCTTCAACTCGCATGAAAGTTTCAAGTTAATCCCATTCAATCTTCCCGTATAAACAAGATCGCATTGAAAGTTCTTTGATTAGTTTCAAAACTTGTCCATGCATTCCCGCTCACAACTCGTCTCTACTCGGTTTTATTTATAGAATGTGGTGGTGTACTGAGTAGTAAAAATGGTGTCATTACATCACCTAATTACCCACTCAATTATCCGCCGGAAGCAAGTTGCGAATGGACTATCGAAGTGACGCCGTATCATTCAATCACACTTACCTTAGAAGAAATTGAAATGGAAAACTATTATTCGTGTGAAATGGACTATGTAGAGGCATACGAGGATGGCAACAGTGATGGTGATACGGCTATAGAGGAGGGCAAGCTACTGTTCAAAGAGTGTGGTTTGGCAGATTCAACGCAAACTGAGTGGGTTACCACTACCAATAGGGCGGTGGTGCGTTTTGAGAGTGACGATAGTATACAATCGAAGGGTTTCAAATTGAGCTACAAGGAGGTAAACATACTCGTAAATATTTTACAATATTCATTGTTATTATCATTTATGGTTTGATAGAATTGTGGACAACGCATTGAAATTGGCGATGATGATGTGGGTTATATCGGTATAAGTCGCAATGTGGTAACGAATGAAACTTGCGAATGGCATTTAATAGCAAAAGATCTAACCAAACATGTACAATTCACACCTACGCACGTACAGCTCAGTCCACTGGTAGCAATGTCGGCATTGACGGAGGAGGACTGTATGGATCAGGGCGTAAAGGTAAATTGAAAAACAAGTCAACTGTCTTCGGATTTTCATTGATTAACCACAACAATAAACAACAGGTATATGATGGTATGGATGACACTGCACCCCTGCGCGCCAAATTCTGCAAAACACATCCACCAGATATTATTTCGAATGGACATGCGCTCACCATCAGAATGCCACTGAATGTTACGACCGAAATTGAAGGATACTATCTATTGGTGGATAGTTGGTGTGGCGGTTATTACTCATCGATGAGTGGCAAATTCGCCACACCCTATTATCCGTCCTCATATCCAGTGAATATCAATTGCGAATGGTTTATTGTAGCCAGTGAAGGCAACTCGCTTATATTCACAATTGAATCATTCGATTTGGAGGAATCGGAGGGTTGCAACAAAGACTATCTGGAAGTGCGTGACACAAAAGAGAGTGGTCCTTTACTAGGTCTGTTTTGTGGTACAAATATTCCACCACCCATAACGGGCGTTCAATCAATATGGGTGAAATTCGGCAGCGATGATGATGGCGTGGCTAATGGTTTTGTGGTGTCCTATAATTATGGTGAGTAAATTCGTTTGCGCATATACATATCTATAGGTAAATTTAATGCTTTCATAAATACATACATATGTATGTATATACATTGGGGTACATCACTCTCCATAAAAAAAAAATTTAAATTAAAAATAAAAACTTGGTACCGAGTTTCCGTCGGAAATATAAATATCTGTTATATACCTCCTTGAAAATATGTATCTCTAAAACTGGAGTTTTTTTATAAATAAAATTAGTTTCTAAACATATTTTTTCTAAAAAATCAGCTCAGACTATAGAAGATTATAAGCTTAAAAGGCCTACATAAAAATGTTTGAACATTTTTTCAATCGGTCTAGCTCACGTAAATTTTAGTAATTTTCCGAAATATTTTAGCCGAAGTCCTCAAATAAAAAAATTTTATAATTCCTTATGCCATATGTACATAAGGCTTTACAAAATTACAAGCAAACTAAAAAAAGGTTGCCGTATACATCTGAGTCAAAAGTATTTTTGCAATTTAATTTCGAAATTTTTTTTTGGTCGTACCTTTGGGTCGTCATATGCATTTTTCGATGGCACTGGAATAATCAAAATACATTCTAAGCGAAAGTTTAACGAAATTTGAATAGCTTTAATTTGCTGACAATAGGCCGGTAGCAAGTGAAATCTCTTGGGTAAAATAGCGATATATCATCTTTAGTTTAAGATCCGATTGTAAATGCCGAAGCTATGAAGAAAAATTTAAAAAAAGCGAACCCCAAGTTCGGCCAAGAAAAAAATTGTTTTTGAAATTGCCTTGCAAACACACTTTGGATTCGAAGGTGTACGACGAACTTTTTCTGATACGATCTAATGTACATATACGTTTGTCCTCTCTCATTTTTAGCTACGCACAATGAAATCAATGGCACAAATGGTACAATTGAGTCACCGCATTATCCCACCAAGTTCCATGTAGATGAACCGTACACTTGGCGTATTACAGTCGACAAGGAGTACGTGTTGGTGGTGGTCATAAAACATGTTATCGATGTGGATATACCATTTATAAAGGTAAGATTATGTTTAAGATTTTTGAAATATCTCGTAAATGTCCGATATATTTATCATAACGTGACGATATATGATACTGAGAACACCTTCGCCGCTTTTTCCAAACAAACGGACGTCCATGTTAGCGAACAGCTATTCCGCAATTATGCTGCACGAGCACGCTTAACTCCGTTCGGATGCTTGGAGGTAATCCGTGCCAATTTTACGATGATAATTTATAACGCGCCCTTCGTTGAGCAAAGCCTAGTAACAGAACCAGTGTTCTCAAGTTGTCGTTGATCACTGTCGCCATTCTTGATTAATAAAAGTCAAGAAGAGTGGTGAGTGGTCCCATTACTCGAGCCGAGGAAACCTGGCAACAAAATGGTGTCATATCAACTGATAGCTATACTCTCCCTAGCAGTAAATACTCTTGAGGTCTTGCTACTTACTACCCTACAACAACGAATCATCATCACCGCCTCGGGTCTTCTACCTGCTTCTTTTAAATTTGTACATATCAATGCTCTTTCAGCCAAAAGATGGAGTTTCTCTGATCTCAAATGCCGACGATTGCTCGATATTAGCGTCCGGAAATCTTTTTGGTGGCCTATGCTTGAAATTAAATGACAATATCTTCTATTTAGTTCCCTTCTTTACTACAAGGAGCCTAACCTTCTGTCGCAACGAAATCGTTGGCAACCATCTTTACCGCTCTGACAAAAGAAGTCAGCCTGCAGTTACAAGCTCCGATCGATGACGTACAAATTCCGACCACGAACAAAACGTTGTTAGCAAAATAGCAGCATATTTAGCCCCAGTACCGTCATCGGGAACTGGTAAGGCGCAGTGAGCAAAGCTACGGACAGTTATGAGATGTCTTTGGATGTCACTAGGGTCCCATTTATATAGCAGGGCCAGTTGATCTCAGCGAAAATAACGTAATATCGAACAAATAGTTCCTGACCGGCTGCTGTCGACATGAGCACCGGAAAAGGCAGTAGTTGGAAAAAGAAGTATTTAGGCAAGTCAGAAGGCATCTCAACAACCACTACACCCAACGATTTTCATACCCTCTTATATACACTCAATTTACACCCCTTTTCTTTGGTCCTACCCTTTCAACTGAAAGATTAGCTGATCTAGGCGGGTCTAATTAGGCGCTACTACATACAACACCGGCAACTAACAGTTTGAGAAAAAATCAGATTACGCTATTTTGTTGTGGTACATATGTACATACATACATAATTATTATTTTATATGAACTACATATACATATACTTACATGAATAACCATATTCTCATAATCACTTCTATATTTGCGTTTTCACAGTTCTACGACGGCTATTCGGATATTGGACTTCAGATCGATTACTCGAACGAAAATTATGTCCATTCCAGCACAAATATACTATACATAAAGGCTTCGCG